TCAAACATGCCCTCTGGGCTCGGCTGGGAGCGCGGTGTCACCGAGTTAGTCACCCAGAACCCCGGCGGCGGGGTGAATAGGAGGCACATCTGTCCGGGGGCAGCGGGGGGAGAAGGCTCCTCGCCGCGGCCGACTCGGGCTCTTTTGCTCTTCCGGGTGGATCAAAGTGCTTCGGGAGCTGCTGTCTCGAGGTAAACCAGGGCGTACGCACACAGCGGTGGGTGCCGCTCTGCCCAGGCTCCTCCGGCAAATTCCAGAGCAGCCGATGGTGGCCGGGCCCTGGGCTCCTCCAGAGCCTCTGCTTGTTCTGCAGTTCTGCAAAATGCCCCCGTGGCTGCCCTGGGAGGTGAGGCTCCGCAGGAGAGGGGACGTCCGGCGAGGGCTGGGGCCGGGAGCCGTCGCTGCTGGCCCCCCGGCCCCCGCTAACCATGAGAACCCTGCCAGGAGGATCCGCTCACGCAGAATTCCCCCTCTGCCTGACGAAGCAGCTGAGCTTTCTACCCTCAACCCCTTAAAAAACCAAAATGAGGGTTCTGAATCCTTAAAATAACAAACACACCACCAAGCAGAAGCAGCACGCGCTCTTTCTCAGGGTTCTTCTAAGTGCCCGGGTCGCTGCTGGGGCCGAGGACCGGGTTGTCTTTTGAGCAACCCTGCGAAGGTGTAAACAGAGCTGCAGGCGCGTGAGAAACTGCTCGGGAGGCGGGAGCGAGTGTCCTGGGTGCTGCTGGGTTACGCTGTGGATAAACAGCCTAAACATTGATCAGGGGATTTTATTTAATTAAACAACAAAAAAAAAAATATACTCCTGCTGGTAAATACATTTGGCTGTCTAGGATCTGAGCAGTGGTCGTCGCTTTATCGATTGCCATAGCATTAAATCAGGCGGGGAAAGAATTGATAGGCTTGAAGACCCTGAACATAAAGTTCAGTTGTCTGAAAAGCTGTTAAGTTGCTGAGCATCTTGGAACGATTTAAATAAACAAATAAATAAGTAAATAAATAAACCCCCGGCTTCTGAAGGAAATGGCAATGCATGTGACGCGTGACGATGTGGTCCTCGTCGTTCCCTGGCTAGGCTGGCTCATGTGGCGTTCCAGATGCTTACGATTACCTCGATTCCTGAATGGAAAAGTACTTGATTAATTCTAATACCTCCGCTCCGAGCCTGTAATTGAATCCCGCAGCAGAGACTCCAGCGTCCTTCCTGTCGGACGCGCTCTGCTTTCACAGGTTTGGCTGCTGGACTAGGATCTTAATTTTTTTTTTTTTTTTTTTTTCCTAAGAAGGAAGGTAATTCACTGTGCAGTGGGCCCTTCCAGTATGCCCATGGAGGGAAAAAGCCTTGCGGTGAGCTAAAATGTAGTTTTTGAAGTGCTTTAAGCGAGGGCTGCCGTCCCGCCCTCCGTCGCGGGAGGAGGTGCTAAGGTGTTTAACTGGGGTGCCCATTCCTGAGCAAGGGGATGTTAAAACTCACGAGGTGTGGAAGTCAGACCAGGCCTTTGCAGCAGACGGTCTGTTTGCACCTTTAACGTTCAGTCGTATCGATACCGTGGCCCAGTGCAACCGGGGCTGATTCTTTGGGAACAACAGCAGTTCCCCCCCGTTGCAGGTCTTGGTAGCTGTCGGACGGTGAGGTTTCAGCTGCCGGGCCATGGTTCCCAGCCTGGAGGGGAACGGCTGCCCTAGCCCCTGCTTAGCTGATGCCTTCGTACCTTTTCCTTTCTTTTATTTGCCAGTTTTGATGTGGCTGTTAGACCCGCTGTGGGAAGGGGCTGGGGTGGAACCGCCTGCGTTCAAAGTACCTTCGAATGGCCAAGCAACTAAAATGAAATTCAGAAAGAACTTGCACGCCTCCCTCCACGCCGCTCTACGAGAAGAGCAGAAGGCGACTGGGCATCGTGAAGGATTTTTCAAAGCCCCCTGGGGTGGGTCGGAGGGGAGACGGCGAGATCTCGGGGTGGGTTTGCCCTGTCTCTTGCTGGGCTGGGCCTCCCGGCCACACTGGTGCAGGTGGGTACAGCCCCTCGTGGTGCCCGGGGGAGCTGGGGCTGAAGCTGGCCCCTGCGGCGGCAGCAAGCGAGCGGTTTTGCATCTGAAGGAGCAGCTTTCCGTGCCTGGGCGGCGGACGCGGCGCACGTGGTGGCACAGATGGAGCGGCGGTGTGGATTTCTCCTGCGGGCAGTGTCCCTCCGAGCAAGGGCAGGTGATTGCCGTGACCAGCGCTGGCTGCGGATCCGAGCCGGACATGCTCGCCTCTCTGTTGTGAGTGCAAACACCCGCCGTATGCGTAGCTGCAACGGGAGCTGATCTCTGAAGATAGCGATCTGCCCCCAGAACAGGCTGCCAGCGTCCTACCTGAGCGGGACAGGAGAGCCTTGTGGCTGCGCGGGGGTATTTCTCACTTAAGCAATAAATAATAATAAGAGCTGGCAGCTCTTACCGTTTGCTTTCGGTGATTAGGTGCTGGAAGGAGAGAGCATGAGGACGTGTCCCGGGGGCAGCACCTCAGACCGCAGGTTGCAGCATCATCTTAAAGGTCTTTTCCAAGCCAAACGATTCTGCGATCATTTGGCAACACAGGCGCTGCAAACCCGCCCGCAGGTAGTGATGTGTCTGTGTAGCATGGATCTGGTAAGAATTCTGCCTGAAAATTTGTTCCCCTGCTACCCTGTAGCATCAAGTACCAAACTTTTTTGGAGGAAGGACCTATTGTTTACAAACCAAACAGTTCATTAGCATTAAACTTTTAATTGTAGCCCTGGTATAAATCATCTGTGGGTGCTGTGGCTCATTTACAGAGGTCATGGCCTCCTGAACCGTGGTTGGGAGCTACGAATAAAGGCTCCCAGTTGCTATTCTATTTTTTTATAGCTATTGGATCCCAGTCCCAGTGCCCCATGAGCAGTTCAGAGCATCCAGTGCCGGGACAGCAGCGCCGGCTGCCTTTCCTCCCAAAAAAGGATGGTCAGGTTGCCTGCCCGTACCCGTTACCTGTATATTGTACCCGCCTTGCGTCGGAGGAGTTATCCGACACGCTTCTGTGTCTGAGGTGCCCAACTCATGTGGCTGCTGCCTCCCAAGCCCCCCCAGCCTGAGCCTAAGAGGGCAAACAGTGCAGCTGGCGGGGGGTACGGATCGTTTTAGGCATCCAATTCGGTTCTCAGGGCAGTGGGGAGAACTGCGTTCAACTGCGTTCAAGACGTGAGCCAGAGCTTAGGCATCGGTATCGCCGGTTGGACCTAACTTTAGGATTACATGAGTGTATTTGTTCCTCGGGGTAAGCTGTTAGTGAAACCCCTGTGAGGATTCTTGACCAGGTGGAGGAAGGTTTAACCTCGTGTACAGCTGTGGCTCTTTGCTCGGCAAGCATTCGTGCTTCCCTTTATGTTCTTCCCAACCGTAGGACGAGGAATATGGTGAGTTTTCAGCTCCTTTTCACTAATTCCATCCCAGCGCTCTCTATTAACCATCTGACGGAGTTACCACCGCAGCGGGCTGAGGGCAATGAATTTGAAAAGGGTGGCCAAGTTCGGACGTGTACCTCTCTGAAGTCCTTAAAGAAGCAGTCTGACTTTTTCAGTGCATGGGAGCAGCCACAGCCGCCATCCATTTCTTTATCTGTGGATTGGGGGCGGGGGGAGGATTTTAAATACTTAAAGCACGGCGCTTGCGTGTGTGAAACGTGGCTTGTGTTTCCGCTCGTGCCTCTTGCAGCGTGGCGTTTTAACGGCAGCTCTTCCCGGCTACACCTGTACGAAGGAGGTGCTGCACAGTAATGGCCTCGCAGGGAGAATCACAGGATCACAAGGGTTGGAAGGGACCCTGGGAGATCCCCCAGTCCAACCCCCCTGCTCAAGCAGGCTCTCCTAGAGCATGTTACACAGGACTTCCTCCAGGCGGGCTTGGAATATCTCCAGAGAAGGAGACTCCACAGCCCCCCTGGGCAGCCTGGGACAGTGCTGAGTCACCCTCAGAGTAAAGAAGTTTTTCCTCATATTCAACTGAAACCTCTTCTGCTTCAGTTTGTGCCCATGGCCACCTGTCCTGTCGCTGGAATGGTGCTTCCAGGCTGTCGTTCCGTACCCTCTGGGTTTGGCCCTTGTTTTAGGATGAGCAGAATTGGCTTCTGCAAGGACCTGTCTCTTGCCGTTGGGTTGGGGGGGAGCATAAGCAGCTGGGGGGGCTGGACTCCTGCCACTCCCATGGGTTTGCCTAGAGGAGGTTGTTTGGATCCCACGAGTTGGCCGTGAAAGAGAGAAGGGTTGGGTAAGTTTGTCTGTCCCCATGGAATATCACTGTTCTAAGGGCACAGCTTGGGATCTGGTGCTAAGAGTACTCGTGCTGCAGGGTCAGAGGATGGAGAATGGGTAGAGAAGCCTTCTGGTGCTTTGGAGTCTGCAGAATATAAAAGTAAAAGCCAGCAGAAGCCAGGTAGAAGCAAAGTTGCCAAAAGGTGCCAGGGAGGGATTAGGGAAACAGTGCAAAGGCTGCGAAAACGTGGCAGAAAAAGCACCGAGGGTGGTTTGATGCC